CTGACCTGATAGCGGGTCAATTAAGGTCAAATGATGGTACCATGTCCAAGTGAGGCATACCAACCGGTTGCCACCTCATGCAGGAGGACAGCCACAACGCGGCCGTGAGAGCCCAGTTGTCAGGCGGTCAGACGCCCATGAGCTCATGCATGGCAACCGTGTTCAGGCCACCCACCGGCCGAAAGTTCTTGTTTACGCGCAGGCGGCAAAAGCTGGAGCTGATTGTGCACTGCTTCGGCAGTTCGTAGAAATCGCCGTCGCCACGAGAGTTGGAGGGTTGCTGTTTCTTGGCGATAGCGTTTCTGTCCGTTGATTGTCAGACAACTACGAAATTAATGATTTCTTTCGTCAGGCGCTTCTTCTTGGCTCCTCTTCAGGCGCTCGGAACCCCCTTTGGCTGCCTCCTCTCTTCCGCCCAGAACATGCTTTTCTCCCGGTCATGCTCACTTGCCCATAGTTGCACCGGTAGAGGGCTCCTCTTGCTGCGAGTGCTCTCTCTCCCTCTCGCCGTTTTTCCCACCCTCTGCCCTCCTCAACCGAGGCAAGTTGAAATGGCTTGTCCACAAACATCAATTGTCATAGCAACGCGACTAATTGCGACTGGAATTGATCATTGTCGCCCTCTACTTCTCTGTAAGCGAATAATTTGCCCAATGTACCCTCCATTCTGGCCTTCGTGCAGAAGCCAGGTAACCTCCCAGAGGCAATCGCGCAAGGAGAGTGGGTGTACCGTTTTCCCACCGCTCTTGCGCCCCTCTCGGCAGAAGGCCTTGCGTCTTGCCGAACTCGTGCTTCGTGTGGACGCCTGTATCTGCTGACAACCAAATCGGCCAAAAGGCTTTATGGCACCAGTCACAATTCTCGCTTTCTGGAGGCAGCAGTTCAGCATTTCGGCTGCCTTGAAGTGACAACTGACCGCGTCATACACAACTGATGTGTTGTGGCCAATTATCATAGTCACTTGAACAGTTATCAACTGAACTGAGCATAAGATGTATTCACCCGAGTTCGTTTAACGTGATGAAGGACTGCTAGAAGTAGAATTTTCCCACAAATGATATCAGTTGAGCTGACGTTTCCATTGAATTTTTACATAGCTTTG